CTCAGGTAGGTTTGACATTTCACAGGATGGGCTTTCCAAATCAGACACACAGTGCACAGGGAAGAGGCTGATCTCACCCCCTTCCCAGGTCCCCTGAGCCAGGCTGTGCCTCAGGTGGCCATGAGCAGACATTCTCTGCCTTGCTCTTGCCTCTTCCAAGGCAATGCCCATTCCCTGATTGTCAAGTCCAAGATCTGTGGAGTGGAGGAAAGCCGGTGGATCCAGTCCCCTGGGGGAAGGATGGGGACCTGCATGGCCGGCACAGCACCAAGGGCTGGCCCTGCACTCCAGCTGTGCACAAGCTGGGGGCTTGTCAGGCCTGAACAGAGCATCGGTGTCTTTGCCTCAGGAATTCCTGCTGCTCCTGGAGCAGGTGGGAAGGGCACAGGGAAGGAGGGGCTGAGCTGTGGCAGGGCCAGGGCCAGGACTGAGCCTTCCAGGCAGGTCGTGCTGATGCTTTGCCCAGGGGCCAAGTCCCATTTCCCACCTCCACAGCCATTTTCTGCCTGGGAAATGGGCCCCCTCCTGCCCACCCGCACCCCGGGTCGTGCTGGCAGGGCTGTGCCTCTTCCAGGCTGCCCAGAACATGGTGACAAGGTGCTTGGCTGTGGAGCTCCAAGAAGAGAAGGGCTTGGCAAGCAGCTTCTCTCCCCTTCCCCACCCCACAAATGTCACTGCAGTTCCCCACCTCTGTAAACTTTGGGAGCTGATGTCTCCCTGCTCCGTCTCCACATCCTCAGTCTCAACCCTCCTGTTCAACCCAGCACACCCTCCCTGTGTGCTGCCCAAGCACAGCGTGTCTGTCCATCTGTCCCACCTGGAACGTGGCATCCCCCAGCTGAGGGGAGAGGGCAGCTGGTCCCTGTGACCCCCAGTCCCTCAGGCACCCCAACCTGCAGCTGGGCAGGAGGAAAGCCAGCCCTCCAGGGGCTTGGAAGATCTCTCTCCTCTCAGGAAAGGGGCTCTGCTCTGGATTTTCCGGTGCCTCCCAGAGGAGAGGTGTCCAGAGGGTGGTTACAGTGCCATGGGACCTGTAGGCTGCAACCCATGGAGGTGCCAAGGGCAGCTGTGGGTCGGGTGGCAGCTGTGGGATGAGGAGTGGGACACCTGGGAAGGAGCCACCCTGCAAGTTGGCAGCACATGGCTGTCAGAGACTGAAATGGTTAATGATTTATTAATTCCAGGAGTTTGAAGGCTTTGACTTTTGCCCTAAAAAAGGCAAGGAGATACCTCAGATTGGTAGTTGGGCCCATCCCTCCAATGCTAAGCCCTAAAAAGACAAGAAGATACCTCAGATGGGCAGTGCTAAGCCCTAAAAAGGCAAGAAGATACCTCAGATGGGCAGTGCTAAGCCCTAAAAAGGCAAG